GTGCAGAGTTGCAGGGGTGCAGGGGGCGAATTTTGGTATATTTTTATTAGTTATTTGATAGGCATTAAACTACCGTATTGACTTCATGTATGTTTTTTTAATGTCGAAATTCCAAAACTGATTTAAAAAAATAAATAAAACATCGAGAAACAAAGAGTATGCAATGTAACCAACTAACTTATTTTCAAATCCGTTTTACACGGGGGTTCTCTGGGCGTGGGATCCAGAGGCCTGCCTAAGGGCCCCCGAAGCCAGAGCAGTTTTTGTGTTTAATGGGTCTATATAATGTTATAAAAGCAGTTACCGAAAGGTCCACTGATTAATCTCGGATAAGAAAGTATAATACATACTCCAAGTATTGAAATACACGCCATCGTGTTGGGATTCAAATCCCAACACGATGGGGTGTATTTCACTACTTGGAGTATGTATTATACTTTCTTAAAAGCAGTTATGTCTTGAAAAGATCTATGTAATAAAAAGGTGGTAATATTATAAAATTTGAAAATATTTCGTGAGTGGATTTCCCGTACGATTAAAAATCGTAACGGTACTGCATGGCGAGTGGATTTCCCGTACGACTAAACATCGTAACGGTACTTGGTTTGGTTTACAGGAGTTCGTGCTTCGAACAGGTCATTTCATTCATAGAAGAAGCTTTTTCATGGAGAAAGTGTACCTTTTTAGCAAAGGTTTGTCTAGGTCGAAACTAACTCCGGCTATATAAAAATTGATTAGAATATTGAAAATTTTATTCGTGTTAATGAATAGATAAAGATTACTAGTCCTAATATGTCCATTCTATTGATCTAATCTACGTGTATTTACTTTCATAGTTTATATTTAAATATTTAAAATTGTTTATAAATTTATTTAAAATACTATATGAAATAATGTAATCATTAAATGTATGATAATAATTGATATTTAAATAAACCAAAAGATTGAAACATGTTGAATACAGACACAAAGTATACATAAACCTATTTCTAGAAGAGAAAATATGTAAATCTGTATTAAAATGATATAAATTTATATATATATATACTGTCTCTTATACACATCTAGATGTGTATACATAGAAATATTATGCGTAAATATGTATTTAGTATAACAAATTAAATTTAAACGAAAATATGGAAGAAGCAGAGGAAGAAAGAATTGAATAGGTAAAAATTGAAAATGAACAATAATAATCATTTATTGCATCACGTTTTCGTGAAAATAACCCATCTTAAAGGACTATCTGTCGTTTTCTTCTTTGCCACAGTGGACGAAAAAAGTCAGTTATTCTACGGCGTTTCGTAATTCTTTATCACTAAAAATTAACACTCGTTTTGACGCACTCCGTTCTGTTGTGTGTGTGTCTGCTGTTGAAAACAACCTTCCTAATTTTGTGACTGGCTATGATGACTGAGATGGACCATGTTGACTTATTAATAATATTTTGATTGGGATGGAAAAAAAGGAGTCAATTTCCCAAAAATGTTCCATCAGCAAATAGGTTAGTGTGCGCTGTGGACAGTATGGCTATGTAGTTTACTAACCACACAGTCCAGAATCAGGTGATTAAGTCGCAAAACTTTAGCTGCATTTGGTGGACCGTGGATTAAGTCGCAAAACTTTAGCTTCGTTTAGTGACGCCATTTACTCTAGGTAGACGGCGACTGGTTTCGTTACCGGTTGGTACATTTCTTACGAACATTCAGGCAAAGGCCAGTCAAAGTTGAGACGGGAGCCGGGTTTTTACCGATGTTTGCCATCCTTATATGTGAGCCATCGTAAATTCATGGTTTGCCGGAGTTGCGTTCAATTTAAATTTCCGAACTTCTGAAGCTGAGATACTCTATGAAAGAAGGCTTATATCGCAGTCTAGAATTTAAAAACCTTGATTTAATGCTGGGTAAGTTAAAAACAGACATTCCGTCCGAGTGGGATTCATTCAAAAATTTGAGGGGGTTCGCTAGAAAACAGGGGGGTTCGCTAGAAAAGGGGGCTCGCCCGAACCATAACCCCCCCCCCCCCCCCCCCGGCTTCGGGCCTGAATATTTACAACCTCTAACCAACGTCGGCCCAACGGTTGTAACCAACCTTCACTAACGTTTACCGACGTCGGGGCAACAAAGTACTCTGACGTTGCGACAACGTCTGTTATCACATCCTAATATTTACAAACTCTAACCAACGTCGGGCCAACGGTTTTAACCAACCACCATTTCAAACGTTTACCGACGTCGGGCCAACAACGTACTGTGACGTTGAGGCAACGTCTATAATCACATCTAATATTTACAACCTCTAGCCAACGTTGGGCCAACGGTAGTACCCAACCATATTTTTAGTAGTTTGCCGACGTCGGGCCAGTAACAAATCGTGACGTTGTACCAACGTCCATAGTCAGACTGAATATTTACGATGGCTTACCAACGTTGGGACGACATCGGAAAATCGACAAATATATTCATACGTTGGGCCAACGTGAAATTTCAATGTTGGTTTGGCGTTACCTCTGCGACCAAATTTTGCAACCAAACACCAACGTCGTACCAACGTCAGATATCCGACCCCGACGCTTGCCAACGTTGGGTCAACGTCGCTTTGCTAGCTGGGATAAGGCCTATCTTATCCCAGCTTTTTGGGATGGGAAAAAATATCTGACCGTTTTCAAGAGTGGAAAACCTTGAGTTTTCCCCTCTTGAAAATTATTATAATGAATCAATGAACCCAAAGAAAGGGAAGTTCGAGTTCTTCCCGGGAAAATGATGATTTCTAAATAGTGGACAATGAGCTTTCCCGACTTCTGACGTATCTTTCAATGACTTTAATTTAAAAGGCAACCAAGAAGTTGGGAAAACTCATTTCCCGCCTTCTAGGAATCAAACTTTTCCTGGGGGAAAACCCCCGGACCCCCTTTCTTTTTGGGATTCATCGATTCATGGAAAATTCGTATGCAACTACTCATTTTTTTAAAATGTTTATGTATGTATACACACATAAGCCCTATTTACTGTAATAACAATGGGAAAAAATTACCTGACCGTTTTCAAGAGGGGGAAACCTTGAATTTTTAAGAACTTTCCCGATTCTGAAGTATCTTTCAATTACTTTAATTTAAAAGACACCTCAGAAGTCGGGAAAGCTCATTTCCCGCCTTCTAGGAATCACAATTTTCCTGGGGGAGAACCCCCGGAGCTTCCTCTATTTTTGAGATTTATCGATTCATGAAAAAAAAATCGTATGTAACTACTCAATTTTTTGTGTATGTATACACACATAAGGCCTATCTACTGTAATAACAATGGGAAAAAATTACCTGACCGTGTTTAAGAAGGGAAAACCTTGAAATTTGAAGAACTTAAATTAAAGTCGCTAAAAGATACCGTACTTCAGAAGTCGGGAAAGCTGACTGCCCACCATTTAGAAATCAACATTTTCCCGGAAAGAACATGAACGTCCCTTTTCTCTTTTGGTTCATTGATTCATTATAATAATTTTCAAAGGGGGAAACCTTAAATTTTGAAGAACTTAAAAGTAATTAAAAGACACCTGGGAAGTCGGGAAAACTCATTTCCCGCCTTCTAGGAATTAAACTTTTCCTGAGGCCCCGGACCCCCCTTTCTATTTGGGATTCATCGATTTATGGAAAATTCGTAAGCAACCACTGTACTCATTTTTTTTAAATTTCTATGTATGTATACACATATAAGCCCTATTTACTGTAATAACAATAGGAAAAAAATGACTGACCGTTTTCAAGAGGGGAAAACCTTGAATTTTGAAGAACTTAAAAGTAGTTGAGACACCTCACAGAAGTCGGAAAAGCTCATTTCCCGCCATCTAGAAATCAACATTTTCCCGGGGAAGAACCCCCGGACTCCCTTTTCTTTGGAGCTTATCGATTCATTGAAAAAAGAATACTTATGCAACTACTCATTTTTTTAAATGTATGTATACACACATAACCAGCCTATTTACGTAATAACAATGGGAAAAAATTACCTGACCATTTTCAAAAGAGGGGAAAACCTTAAATTTTGAAAAACTTAAAAGTAATTAAAAGACACCTCAGAAGTCGGGAAAGTTCGTTTCCCGCCTTCTGGGAATCAAAATTTTCCTGGTGGAGAACCCCCGGACCCCCTTTCTTTTTGGGTTTTATCGATTCTTGGAAAAAAACGTATGCATCTACTCTTTTTGTGTGTGTGTATGTATACACACATAAGGCCTACCGGTATCTACTGTAATAACAATGGAAAAAAATTACCTGACCGTTTTCAAGAGGGAAAACCTTGAATTTTGAAGAACTTAAGTTAAAGTTGCTAAAAGATACTTCAGAAGTCGGGAAAGCTCATTTCCCACCATTTATAAATCAACATTTTCGCGGGAAGAAACTGAACCTCCCTTTTCTCTTTGGGTTTATTGATTCATTATAATAATTTTCAAGAGGGGAAAACCTTGAATTTTGAAGAACTTAAAAGACACCTCAGAAGTCAGAAAAGCTCATTTCCCGCCTTCAAGGAATCAACATTTTTCCGGAGGAGAACCCCCAGACCCCCCTTTCTTTTGGGGATTCATCGGTTCATAGAAAATTCGTATGCAACTACTCTTTTTTTTAATGTATCTATACACACATAAGACCTATTTACTCTAATAACAATGGGGAAAAATTACCTGACCGTTTTCAAGAGGGGGAAAACCTTGAATTTTGAAGAACAAAGTCATTAGACACCTAGCTCAAAAGTCGAGAAAGGTCATTTCCCGCCATCTAGAAATCAAAATTTTCCCGGGGGAGGAATGTTGACCCCACCACCTAGATTTGATTCCAGATCTGCATGATTCATATTCCCATTCATCTTATAAGTGCCCCCACCCCCCACTTTGAAAAACGTTCCGCCGGCCCTGGACGAGGTTGCTCTCCGATCAAGGTGTATTCCAAGCATCATGAGGATATCAAAACGAGCATTTGTCAAACATTTTTAAATAGTCCCATTGAATTGGGGCGGATCCAGAATTTTTAAACTGTGGGAGGCATTTGTATTTTTTTTAATTTCAATAAATAACATTAATATGCACTGACATTTTAAAAAATAGTGTCAAAACGCTGTTTTAACACTTAACACTTCGGCTGACTTACGTTCCAATAGATGTTTGAAAATAAATAATTCATTGTGAATGAATATAATTGTGTTGTTTCATGGGCTTAATTCAAAGTAATATACGGTAGTCGGATAACTTACAATAAAACGGCACGAGAATTTATATTATTATTATTATTATTATTATTATTATTATTATTATTATTATTATTATTATTATTATTATTATTATTATTATAGTTGTTGTTGTTGTTTTTGTTATTATAGTGATGAAAACACAAACGGTACACAAATAGGTCAATGAAGGCGATATGGTTGCTAAACAAACAGACATGTAAAAATATTTTTTTAACTTTTTTTTTTATTCCCCGATGGAATGTATTCGTTTTTCCCCGGTGGGGTCTAGGCTTCCCCGACGAGTGGGGGGGGGGGGCACCTCTGGCGCCACCCCTGACGTAGGCCCTATGTTTTATCAGTATTAAATGTACAGTAATTAAGAGACACATTGTATTATATATAAGTTAAACGCACCACCCTTGAGTGCCGCCGATCTAAAGGCGATAAAAATACCTCCATGATCCGATCTGATCAAGTCGCATCTGAGAATTGATGTGTCGACAGTAGTGTTTTGCTGCAGTGACATCTCGGTGCTGGCGACTCGCTGCTGGCGATGACTCGCTGCTGGCGAATCGATCTGCGCATGTGTTTAAAATGGTATTTACTTCCGAAAACATGCCTGCTGCACGCGGTAGGTTTGTATTTTGTTTTTCAATGAATGAAATTCAACTTTTAAGATGTCTTTCTAGACCTAGTTACATTATCATTATAGAATAAGGTATATTAACTCTAAAATATAACACAAAGTCAATTTTATATAGGTCTAACATATGTAGGGCTACGGAACGATGTAGTGTACACTGTAGGCCGTATAGCCTAGCTAGGGCCTAGCCTAATAAGCTGGCTCGGGCTAGCAAAGGCCCTAACTCTACTATTATTCGGCTGGCATTGGCCTAGGCCTACTACTAGCCAACTAATGGGACAGTCCCACACACTTTTCTAATGCCAATGGGTCGACAAAAAATGGGTCCACAT